AGTATATAGTCTTTGCAGGGAGGAAGTCATGTTACTGGTAAATGATAATAAATTCTACCTTTTTGGTTGGGTTTGTTTTGTATATTTTTTCCCTTAGATCATAATACTGTGATAACTAAATTTTGTCTTAACTGGAGGGTCTGTACACAGGCTTATTCAGTGCACTTACAGGCAAGGCAAATGCAGCTTCTTGAAGTGGTCCTACCATGGACCAGACTGGTCACCCCTTTGTCTGGCTTTATCTTGACTGTATTGTGTAGCCACGTAATTGAGCCTCATTCCAGACTTTAACTTTCCCACGGCTTCCATTATTCTGCCATATTTTTCACAAAGAATGTGTCTGACCTTTATTGCATTGTCACCACATTGGGACCCTGAGTCTTCTTGCTAACATTGTTACTCCCAGAGGCTGCTTCCCTTTTCCTAGCCTTTCTGGTATCACTTTTTCCTCCGGGCAGCATCTTTGAAATTTACAATGTACCTTTTTTTTTTTTTTTTAAATTTCATCATAGCTCCAAGACAAAGAAAATTACTTAAGTAATTTAAGTAGACCTTAAGACAGTAAATACAATTTTTTTAAAATGTAAGAAAATTCTGATTATACAACTATTAATTTTTCTTTATTTTTGCTTCCAAAATATAATGTGCTCGATGGATAAGAAACTAAAAGGTACTACAAGTCAAAACTCATACCTGACACCTGTTTCCCCTCCCCTGACTTTGAGTCTAAGGCTGTAAATCACACAGGAAATTGTCCATCTTTTTCTTATGAAGCCACTGGTGGATTTAAACTACCAGAGATGTGGCTAGCACAATTCTCTATGGACTGGACCACTAGAGAAGTATTAAAATTGTTGTCCTTAATCTACCTTTTTGTACTTTTTTTCTTTCCAATTCTTTTACACAAAATGGAACAAATAACTTAGAGAATAAGAAGAATCAGCATAGAGTTGGTTTTTATGAAGCAGAAGGCAACTATGTCCCTGCTTTCTAAATTCTGGTTATTTCTGACACCATGGCATTATTTTTCTTTGGTAAGTTTGATAAAATGTCCTCTTTCACATGGTTATGTTGTCTCTTTTGGGTAATTACAGGATATATTCCTGATAAAGACACTCAGCAGAATTGGAATACAAGGGAATTTCCTCAACATGGTGAAAAGTAGTATATATGCAAAACCAAGAGCCAACATCATTATCAGTGAAGAGAGACCAAAAACATTTTCCTTGCAAACAGTGACCAGATAAGGATATCCACTGTCAACCATTGCTTTTCAATATTGTATTGGAAGTGCTTGCTAGGGTAGTTATAGGATACAGCTTATGTTCAGTGTCAGGAAAAGGTACATGGACAAGGTGTGGAAAGTCCTTGAAGAGGAAAGGATTGGTTCTCCTGTCATAAACTAGGGCAACTTTTGTCATTATGGCCCTGGGAGTGGAAATGTCCCCCTGCTGGTGCAGCTCCTGGCCATTATCTTGTCAATTAAAAAAAATGGTTGGTTATCTTACCATTTATGAGGTGGGGGGTACTCTGCCCATCCAGAAAAAAAGCCTTTGGGAATAATCACCAATTTCCAAAATTAAATTGTTTTTTCCAAGAATCACTGACAAAATGTCAGACAAAGGAACCTGCTATATCACAGGAACATTCTTATTTTACTGGTGAGCTATCTTTTGCATTTTATTGTAGTTTGCTCAACCAAATCTTTGTTTTCTTTGGTTTTTTTTTGTCCTTTCTTAGTTTTGATCTGTCATATTACTGAAGTTTCTCAAGTGTGTGTGGGACATTAACTGCCCAGTTATATTTAATAATGACTTACCAAGGGAGCTCTGGTGGCCTGGTGGCCTCGTGGCAAAAAGTTGCACTGCAGTGTCAGGTATGCTGTTTGAATCCACCAGATGCTCTGCTGGAGGAGGAGGGGCAATCTCTTGTACCATCCGGAGAAGGGGGCGCAATCTCCTCTTGTTCCAGTCGGATCTGATTTGATGGTACACACACAAAAAATTGTTTTTTTTTTAAAAAAGAGTGACTTACCAAGTCAGTTCAGAGTTCTTGTGTTGCTGAGTACTTCTCTGGTCATCAGACTTTAGTGTGAGACTAGAAAACCCTGTCAAGGCACCCAGGGTTTTCTTTCTGCAGAAAGGTTTTATTGTCTTACTCAAGCAGTTTAGTATGGAAAGGCCTTTTTTTTGGCAGTACAGTATAAATACAAGTGACAATATATATATATTTTTTATTTTAATGAAAGTTTACAGAGACTTAGGGTTTCCATTCATTCATTATTGCACTTTTCTCCCTGCCCACTCCCTCCTCCCAGTTCACATTCTCCTTGAAAAGTAAAAGAAAAACTCTTGTTGTTATGTAATCCCTCCCCCTAAGTCCACTCCACTGTGCAGCCTTCATTTTGGACTCCTGTCATGATAATAATACCCAATCGTATATCCCTTTTAAACAGTTCTCTTCCTCATTTTGTTTCAGTGCAGTATACATTATTCCTCCCCTCCTCCTCTGTTTTCCTTCAACCCCTATGTCAGTCCTGATTTACAACAATGGTCTTATGCAATATTTGTCCTTTTGTGACTGAGATATTTTACTCAGCATAATGTCCTCCAGGGTCACCCATTTTGTATATTATTTCATGAGTTCCTTGCTTTTCAGTGCTGTGTAGTATATTCCATTGTGAATATACCAGAGCTTCTCTATCCATTCATTTGTTGATGGACACTTGGGTTGTTTCCAGCTCTTTGCTATTGTGAACAAAGCTGCAATAAACATGGGTGTGCATCTTTCTGCTTGGGTGGCGGTTATGGTTTCTTTAGGGTATATTCCCAGTAGTGGAATTGCTGGGTCAAATGGTATCTCTGTTTCCAACTTTTTGAGAAAGCGCCACACCACCTTCCATAGTGGTTGCACCATTTTACACTTCCACCAACAGTGAATAAGGGTTTCAGTTTCTCCAACCTTTGCTGTTCTGTTAAATTTTGCTATTCTTACTGGAGTGAGATATAATTGTTTTTATTTACATCTCTCTTAGAGCTGGGGATTTTGAACATTTTTTTCTGTGCTTGTTGACCATCTGAATGTTGTCTTTGGTGAAGTGTCTGCTCATATCCTGTGCCCATTTTTCATTTGAGTTTATCTTGTGATGCTTGAGTATAAATTATGTATTATAAATTTTAGATAGAGGTCCCTCTTCTGTCATTACCAAATATTTTTTCCCAATCTGTGGCTTCCCTTTTTATCCTGTTGGAGAAGTTTTGGATGTGCACAGGGATTTGATTTTTAGAAGGTTCCATTCATCTCTTTTATCCTCTCCTGGTTGTAGATTTTCCAGGATACTTGGAAGACTGTTGTTTTGGATTAGGACTACTAGAGTTCTTCCAACCTTTTCTTTAATGAAGTTTATAGTCCTTGGTTTTAGTTCTAGGTTCATAATCCACTTTGAATTGGTTTTTGTATATGGAGCGAAGAAGTGACAGTATTTTTTGAAGGCCATCCTAATTTGTTTTTATTTCCTCTGTTGTTTTGTTCTCTGATTTGCTTGGTATCCTTGAATCTGGAGCTCCTCAGATTATGTTTCTATAAAGAATGCATTTTCCACTTTATTCAAAGGAATAAAAATGGTACAGGCACAACTTTAATACTTATTCCCCTCTACCTTATTCTTCATCCCTTGAAGTATTTGATTCTTTCCCTATCTTGAGTCTTCCTGCTTGCAACACAGACCTTTGCAACAGTTTTGTTATTGGCATTCTCTTTTGCAGACACAATTACATATTTGAGTTTTCTAATTTATACTGTGTTGAAAATCTTCTTTATACTTTCCATCATCAAAAAAAAGTATATACAGTATAGAGTTGCCTCCGAATATTTTTTTTCTTTTGATTTTTAAAAGAAGCAGTTGCTGCATTGCCTTTCTTTGGTATTCCAAGTGGACCCATTCAATTCTATGTAGTTTTTATTTATTTTTAATCCTTTTCATTAACTACTTGTTAGGGTCAGTTGCAGGTATCTGAAATGGTAAGGTTATTTTCCAAAAATAATCAAAGATTTGTGAGCCTATGAATTTTCATTTTCTTTTCAGAATAAATAATTTAAATGCTCAGTCTGAAATGTTACTACAGTATTTGAAGACATACATTCTCAACTTAACAGTGCTAACATTTACTGACAGGTTATCAATACCAGTTATGTTTCTAAGCACTTTATCCTTTAAATTCTTTAATATGATTCTTTGTACTCTTATTTTAGAAGACGCCTGAGAAGACGGGCAGATAGACAGCAACAAGACTTGAGAGGCAAGTTTCCTCCAACTCCAGTGACATACAAACTGAGGAAAAGGGCATGAATATATAACAATTGGGAAAATACTTCCTTTGATCTCAGACTAGTTTTTTTAAGACAAGTCTTTGAATTAATCTATTAAATTTGATACAGTTTAGACATATTTCTCCATGAGGTGTGCTTTATAGGAAGGAATTATCAGTGTAATTTAGAAATCCCTCTGCCAAAATGCACTCCTGAAAGTAATGAACCTCTTTGAGTGAGTGTGGAAATACATTCAGTTTAAAAAAATTTGAAACCCAGTCTGATACGAGAGCACTTATACCCTATGAATTTACTGAATTTGAGAAAATTTTCACTTACATCTCATTAAATGTAAACGTCATGCTGGAGAGAAACCCTGTGGTTCTAAGAAATACTGAAGAATCATTAGCTAGATGACAGATTTCATTGAGCAGATGGAAAGTTTTATCAGAGAGGAATTAGTGTAACAAATACTCATTGATTATTAGAAACTATTCTGAAGGGAAACCTTCATAATGACTATATAAAGTTTTTACTCAAATTTTTTCCTTTACCCTTTATTTGAAAGATAATACAAGAGAAGCTCTGTAAATGTAAAATGTGGAAAACCCTTCTGCAGAAAGTAAATACTTACTCATCTGAAAATTTATACTGGAAAGAAAACTTGTGAATGTGGGAAAGCTTCCATTCAGATGTCAGACCTTAACCAGGAAAGAATTTATGGTGGGGACAATCCTTTTGCCTGTAAAGTATGTGGGAGAGTCTTCAGCCGCAAAGCAACTCTCACTGAGCACGAGCATTTTCATACCAGAGAGAAACCTTTTGAATGTAATGAATGTGGGAAAACCTTCAGCCAAAAGCAGTATGTCATTAAACACCAAAACACTCATACTGGTGAGAAGCTTTTTGAATGTAATGAATGTGGAAAATCCTTCAGTCAGAAGGAAAACCTCCTTACGCATCAGAAAATTCACACTGGAGAGAAACCTTTTGAGTGTAAGGATTGTGGGAAAGCTTTCATTCAGAAGTCCAACCTCATCAGACATCAGAGAACTCATACAGGAGAGAAGCCTTTTGTGTGTAAGGAATGTGGGAAAACCTTCAGTGGCAAATCAAATCTTACTGAGCATGAGAAAATTCATATTGGAGAGAAACCCTTTAAATGTAATGAATGTGGAACTGCTTTTGGCCAAAAGAAGTACCTCATAAAACATCAAAATATTCACACTGGAGAGAAACCTTATGAATGTAATGAATGTGGAAAAGCTTTCTCTCAAAGAACATCACTTATTGTACACGTGAGAATTCATTCAGGTGATAAACCTTATGAATGCAATGTATGTGGAAAAGCCTTCTCTCAAAGCTCATCTCTTACTGTGCATGTACGAAGCCATACAGGTGAGAAACCCTACGGTTGTAATGAATGTGGTAAAGCCTTCTCTCAATTCTCAACGCTTGCTCTGCATTTGAGAATACACACAGGAAAGAAGCCTTACCAGTGTAGTCAGTGTGGGAAAGCTTTCAGCCAGAAGTCACACCACATTCGACACCAGAAAATTCACACCCATTAGAAACCTTGAAAATGAGAACGCTTTTATCAGGACTCGACACACCATACCACATCAAAAATAATCATTTTGAAGCAAAGCATCACTCATCTTTAACAAAGCTAAAAACTTGCTTGACTCCAGAGAAGTCACCTTTACTTGTATGTGAAGTGATTATCTGACACATCCTACTGCAAACAATAATAGTAACGGAGAAATTGTAGAAACATTTTTACTAAAATTGGAAGCAAGAAATAGATGCCTCATTGATTATCAGCATTGATCTAGAGAAGTTACAACCAATGCAATAAGAAAAATAAGTGTAAATTTTAGAAAGGAAGAGACAAAGTCTTTTGGTGTTAACGATCATCTACAGATAATAAAAATTCTTAAGCAGATCAAAAGAGAAACCAGAAACAGAACCTGGACATTTACTATCATTTGGAAATGACTGTATCCTTTCAAGAACTGGTGGTTTTGAAGGTTTCTCAGGATGAGAAGAATAGACTAAACCACAAAGAAAACTTAAAGGGATTAAAAGGAGAAACATTAAAACACTATATGCTAAAATAATCATGACTGAGAGAGGGAAACCACCTAAGAAATCCAGGAATAGCAGTTTTACTCTTGAGTATATATACTCAGGAAATACATACAGGATATTTACTGTGGCATGATCCATAGTATCCATAAATTTGAAGCAACTTAAATAACCATCAGGAATGGAAAATTGTTAACATTGAAATATGTTATCTGTAAAATATGGTAAGATTATATGTATTAACAAAGACTTTAAAAATCATGTTGGAGGAAAAAAGGCTTGAAGGAGAAAAATTATAGAATGATGGATATAATGTATTGACATTTTGTAAATTTGAAACTTCCGTACAAAATTCAGTACTTTTATATTGATATACAGTTGTAAATATTTTTAAAAAATGGACTGGAAGGATACTGCCCAAATTCTTGATAATTGTTGCCTGTAAAACGTGATTAAAGGGAGGAAATGAGTGTGTATTGGGGGTGGGATGGGGGATTGTCTTAAAGGGGCTTTAGCTTTATATATATAAAAACATCCATTTCTTTTAAACATTTAAAAAAACTCCTAAATGTATATAGTAGTTAATTCTGAATTGTGTTATATGGATACCTTGTCTTATTTTTTGTACTTTTCTGTATTTTTAAAGTAAGAATGGGACGAGATGGGAAAGCTGTACCTGTAGAAATAATGTTATAATTGATTAATTCTCAAGCAAATGATTTTTATAAAAATATTTCTAAAGTTTTATCAATGAGTGGATGTACTGATCCTTATGTAATATGAAATTATTTTATTAAAATTAAAAATGGTAGCATAAAACAAATCTGTTTTAATTTATTGAAATGTTATTTAATATATAGTTTATATGTTCACATTTCTAAAATTTTCCAATTGGGCTTACATTTTTTTAAGATCTTTTAATAAACATGCTCTTATTTGATAGAAATTTTTTCTTTTTTGTAAAGTAATTATAGAATGTCAGTTTTTTGTCCTGTAAAATACCACAAGACCAACATGATCATTCAGCTTCATGAATACCCACAAATCACTGCATTAAATACCAGCATCCCAATCTCAGTCTTAATCTAGAGCCCATGATGATTCTCACTGATTTTAGCAGGTACATCTTTTTTGTTTTGCAGCCAAAGAGAGAATTTGAAGGTAAAAACATGGCCAGACACTAAACTGAATTCTGTTTATTTTTTTTTAAATTCCTTGTTGTGTATAGTCTAATCGGATCTGACTGGTACCGGAGGAGATTGTCCCTCCTTCTCCAGCAGAGGATCTGGTTGTTTCAAGCCCCATGCTTTCTGATTACAGTGCAGCATCTTGCCACTAGGCCACCAGAGCTCCCTTCTGAATTAATTTTTTTTTTTAAGAAATTTTGTCTCAGGTAATTGAACAGATAATTTACCTTCATATACAGAGTATTACTGAGTAATAATATGTCAGTTTGAGGACTAAAGTGTGCCTAATTCAGGCCATGGTCTTTTTTAATCACTTGGTATGCCTCTTAAAACTGGACAGTCACTGAGGATGAGAGAAGAATAATTAATGGACTGCCAAAAGAACACACAGGAATGTCTTGGAAAGGATGCAGCCAGAGTGCTCCTTGGAGGCAAAAATGATGAACCTCTCACATACTTTGGGCATGTTACTAGGAGAGGTTATTCTTAGGACAGAGACAGCATAGGAGAAGAATGCCATCAGCCAGGTGAACTGACACAGTCACTGCAGCAATGGTCTTGAGTATGTCAGTGATTTGTGAGGATGGTACAGAAGGAAAGCAATTGTATTTCAGTGTATTTATCAAAGATACACTTTCCTCTATGGGCAGTCTCCTCATGATTTACTGCCTCTGAAAAACATGCTAGAAGGTCAACTGTTGAGGTGCACACAGTGATAGTCTCTTGTTTCCACTTACCTTTTTTAAGTCTTAATGCTCTTACCCTATTGCAGTTTGGCATAAACAAAATCAAAGCTGATCCTAATATTACCTTAATGTGGCCATTGGAAAGGCAGTTTTGATTGTTACAGGCCAAATGCAACTCATAGCAACCCTAAAAATACTGGCTCTGAACCTTGCCCTATCTTGAGCCAACCTCACCATCTCTGACACACTTGACCTCATTGCTAGTCACTGGAGCTCATCCCCTTTTAGTGTCTTCCTCACACTGACCTTCCACCTTTCTAATGAAAGCACTGGCATCTCCTGATATTCAAAGTATGTGAGATGGAGTTTTAACAACTTTGCCTCCAAGGAGCACTCTGGTTTCATTTTCTTCAGAATAGACCTTTTTGATCTCGTGGGATATTCAGTATTCTCCAGCACTACAACCCAAAGACATTGATTCCTGTGCCATTTTTAGTTATTGTGTACCTCTCGGATGCATAGCAAGCATTTAAGAAGACTTGGGTCAAGTGCACCTTAGTTCTCAGACTGACATTGTTGCTCTTTAGCACTGCAGATTTTCCCAGTGCAACTCATGTTTTGATTTCCTGAATGTTGGTGTTTTGTGTAGAGGTAGTAAAAGTGTTTCATAGAGGAAAATTGAAATTTGGGCTTCATAGATACTCATGGCATTTTAGGGTCAATTGATCTGAATCTCTGATCTACTTTACACCTGTGTTCTGATAGGATTAATGTAGATTTAAGTGCATTGAGTTAGATTCCTCCATCACCTTTAGTAAAGATTCAAACTCATAACCATTGAGTTGGAACGAATTCCTAACGGACCCTTTATTGGGTTTCCAAGGCTGTAAATTGCACAGATATTACCTATCTTTCTTCCAAGGACCAGGTGGATCTGAATTGCCAAAGAGAGTTTGCCTTTGTATTAGCAGTGCCACTCCCCTGGGACCACAGCACTAGAGCTCCTTAATGCTGTATGCCATTGAGTTGGAACTGTTTAATAGTTGATCCTCCTGCGGGTTTTCAGAGGCAGTAAATCGCATAGGAGTAGAATGGCCATCCTCCACAGCAGCTGCAGGGTTTGAACTACATGTCTTGAGATTGTATTACTAGGCCACCAGAGATCCACAATAGTGATTAGTTTAATACCTAGACACGATAGAGCACAGAATGATGCTCTCTATTATTAGCCAAAACTCAACAAAATAGGTTTTCATTTTCTCTTGATTAGCAGCAGCTGATTCCTTGGTCTGCAGAGAGACAGACTCAGGTCTACCACAGGACAAGTTTTTTTGTAAAAGTTTCTTAGGCAGCCCCCAGGAGAGATACCTTATGCTCTCCTTAGGTTAGTCTTACCATTGCCCTTAAGTGATTTTGCAGGGCAAGAAAAATGGTAATTTACTAGAATATAGTTCTTGTGTACAACTGAATTGTAACCAACCCATAGCTGACCCTCCAGCAGGATTTCAGCTGCTGTAAATCACATGAGAGGAGGTTGCCTACTTGGTGGATGTGAATTACATACCTTTGAATTGGCAGCACAGTTCTTTCCTAGTAAGCTACCAGTGCTCCCTGGAAATGGTTGCTGTTTTTAGGTGCCGTCAAGTCAAGTATGACTCAGTGACCCTGTGAACAAAAGATCTGAACCTAGTCCTTTCCTGCACCATGGGTATGGAAGGGAAACAGAAAACAAGATACTCTTCATGTATATTAACTATAGCATTATTAGTGTATTTTAAAGGTAATCTCAAACAACTGGGATTGTGGATTTTTTTTATAATTTTGTCTACTTTTAAAAATATATATATGCTTTTCTTTGTGTAATAAAAATCAGCAAGCAAAAGGTTACTTAACCTGAATTTTTTTTTATGATTGTTAGACTTAAAAAAATATAATTTAAATGAAGGTTTACAGAGACTTAGGGTTTCCAGTCATTCATTGTTGGACTTTTCTCCCTCCCCAACCCCACCCCTCCAATTCACTCTTCTCTTTGAAAGGAGAAACTCTTTCATTGTTATGCAATCCCTCCCCCAAGTCCAATGCAGCCTTCACTCTGGAATTCTGTAATGACAAGAATACCCGCCCATATATCCTTTCCAAACAATATTCTCTTTCATCTGCTTTGATATACATCATTCTTCCTCTCCTTTTCTGGCTTCCCTCAACCTTGATGTCAGTCCCATTTTACAAGAGTGGCCCTATGCAATATTTGTCCTTTTGTGACTGAGATACTTTACTCAGCATAATGTCCTCCAGGGTCATCCATTTTGCATAATATTAGTTCCTTGTTTTTCAATGCTGCATAGTATTCCATTGTGTGAATATACCAGAGCTTTTCTATCCATTTGTTTGTTGATGGGCACTTGGGTTGTTTCCAGCTCTTTGGTATTGTGAACAAAGCTGCAATAAACATGGGAGTGCATCTTTCTGCTTGGGTGGCGGTTATGGTTTCTTTAGGGTATATTCCCAGTAGTGGAATGGCTGAGTCAAATGGTACTTCTATTTGCAACTTTTTGAGAAAGCGCCATACAGCCTTCCACAGTAGTTGTATCATTTTACACTCACACCAAC